GTGGATTGACTCAGTGACTGGGGTAATTAGGATGGGAGTGTCAGAGACAGTGCGATTGGCACAGGACAGGGCAGAGTTTAGGGCTGTTGTACATAGGGTCGCTATGAGTCACAAGCAACTCAATGGCACATAACAACAATAACAAATTTAACTAAATTCACTAAGCTAAGAAGTGGCAAAACAAGGCTTAAAATATGTTTCCATTCAGCTAGAAGGGAACTATTTTAGTAGGGTATCTGATTTTTCAGACGTGGAAATGTTTCTCTCTAAAGTACTTTGGAGCAAAGATGTCAGCCTGGAGACTATTGTGCGCCTGATACAGGCCATGGTCTTTGCAATCACTTGCTATGTGTCAGAGAGCCAGACAATGACTAGGGATGATAGAAGAATTGATGCCTTTGAGCTGTGGTGTGAGAGAAGAATATTGAATATACCATAGCCTGCTAAGACAATGAACATGTTTGTCTTGGAGAGGCTGCTCCTTGGAGGCGAGGATTTTGAAGCTCTGTCTGACATACTTTGGACATGTTGCAAGGAGGAAGCAGTCCTTTGGAGAGGGATGTCCTACTTGGGAGGGTAGATGGACAGTGCAGGAGAGGAAGACCTATGATGTGATGGATTGATTCAGTGACTGGGGTAATAGGGGTAGGTGTGTCAGAGACAGTGAGATTGGCACAGGACAGAGCAGGGTTTAGAGCTGTTGTACATAGGGTCGCTATGAGTTGCAGGCAACTCGAAAGCACATAACAACAACAACAACAACAATATAGGGAAGACTCTCAGGAGAATATTACAAGTTTATTGGCTTTTGGGGCTCAAGCACAGTGACACTAGACCTCTGCCAAGAAGAGAAATCAATAGGAGATATATACCATTGCATGGATCATTAATTAAGGCAAAGAATCAACAGTGATGCTGAAGCCTACCTATGAAGAACAGACTACCCAAGAAGAACAGTAAAATATTTCCAACTTACTATTTACAGGAAGTGATGAAAACAATACTCAAAGCTAGACATTTTTTACTTTCAGGCCAGTACTGTGTCCACGCTAGCACAAAATCCTTTGGACATGAGCAAAACTTGACCACTACAGAAGTAATCATGCAGTTGAGGCCAGAGAAATGGTCTAAGTACTCTTGGAACTAATTTCCAGCTATCTTTGATAATAAGTTAATATTTTAAATTTGCAAAAAAGTATGAAAATCAAGTATTTGGATAAAAATGTCAATTTCTACTTACCAGAAAACATTCACTCAATTTAAAATACATTTATCATTTCTACTCTGAGGTTCATATTGCACTAAGTAGTTAAGAAAATACTAAAAATTATCACAAACAGTAAAAGCAACCTATTAATAGTGGTCAAGTGAGAAGATTGAAAGCAGCTGGTAAATGATCTCCACATGAAATAACCAGAGAGGATTGAAGAGAAATTCTTATCCTTTCCATCCAACCAATGCCTATCTGATCTTTGGAACTTTGCAAAAACTGCTCACTATCGTTTTCTATAGGGGTCCTTCTCCTTACCTCTTGTGCCATAAGTAGATGCTTGTATCTTCCGATGCCATGGGTAGGCTTTGTTTTGTAGGGCCGACTGGTATTCAGTAGAAAGCCACCTAAAAAAGATAAGATAAAATTGTTTCTGACCTCCTTCAGGGACAGGCAGATAGTATATGAAACAAATTTTTCATAGCAGGGCCATGGATATATGGGGATAGTTATGTCTCCTGTTAGTTTCAAGAACCACAGATATGTCTTGATTCTGTGTTGATTTTTCAGGTTACTCCTTTTTTCTCTATTTTTGGTCCCTGGGAAATGGCCAATTTCTATCACCCACCCTTTAAGAAGCTCTCTTGCAAAAAGGCCACAAGTAGATGATGCTGCTTTTGTTATGTGCCTTAGAGTTACCTGCAACTTATAGTGACCCTATGTACAATACCTCTAAGCCTAGCCGTATCCCAAGCCAATCATACTGACTCCAACACACCTGCCCCCCCATTATCCAAGTTACTATGTCAATTCATCTCATCCAGGGTCTTCCTTTCCTGTGCTATTCCTCTACCCTTTTTCAAGCATGATGTCCTTCTCCAAGGACTGGTCTCACCTGGTCACATGCCCAAAGTACGTGAGCTGGAGCTTCAAAATCCTTGCCTCTAAGGATCAACCTGGTTTCACCGTCACCAAGACTGACTTGTTCGTTTTCTTGGAAGTCCATGGTATGTTCAATACTTTTCTCCAGCACAACTCTAAGACATCAATTCTTCATCTGTTATCCTTGGTCACTGTCCAGCTCTCTGAAGCATAGCAAGTAATTGCAAAGACCATGGCCTGGATTAGTAGCCTAAGTCTCTAGACTGACATTGTTGCCCTTTAGCACTCTGGAGAGGTTCTTGACAGCAGATAGAAGGAGAATTGACACCTCTGAGCTGTGGTGCTGGAGAAGAGTACTGAATGTACCATGGACTGCCAAGAAAACAAATAGATTCATCTTAGAGAGGGTTAAACCAGGCTGCTCCTTGGAGGCAAGGATTCTGGGGCTTCGTCTGACATACTTTGGACATGTTGTAAGGAGAGACAGGTCTTTAGAGAGGGACATCATGCTGGGTAGAGTAGAGGGACAGCGCAGGAGGGGAAGACCCTCTATGAGGTGGATTGGTTCAGTGACTGGGGTAATCGGGATGGATGTGTCAGAGGCAATGAGACTGGCACAGGATAGAGCAGGGTTTAGGGCTGTTGTACATAGGGTCGCTATGAGTCGCAAACGACTCGATGGCACATAATAACAACAAACAACAATTTGTCTCTAGATTTCTTGATTGCTGGTTGATTGCAAGAATGTTGATTGTTGGGCTGAGCAAGCTGAAATTACTAACAACCTCAATCTCTTCTCCATCTATCACAGTCCTGCCAATGGACCCAGTGGTGAGAATCTTTTCTGTTTGCGGAGGTCTCTAGTCTCCTCTCATTCCTCAACAGGTAACAGACCTTTTGGAATTTTCTAATAAGGATTGTCTATTATAAGTATGCTTTCTTGTATACAGGGTTTTTTGGAGAGGAATGTGGCATCAGGATTGGAGGAAGACTTATCAGCAACCTACGTTATCCAGATGATACAACCTTGCTTGCTGAAACTGAGGAGCACCTGAAGCACTTGCTGCAGAAGGTCAAGAACTGTAGTCAATATAGACTGAAGCTAAATATCAAGAAGACAAAGATTCTCACTTTGTCTTTTACTGGGCCAACTGGCAGCACCATGACAGATGGAGAAGAGATTGAGGTTGTTAATAATTACTGCTTGCTTGGCTCCACAATCAACACTTTTGGCACCAACAGTCAAGAAATCAAAAGACTAATAGCATTGAGTAAATCTCTATCTATCAGAGAACTTTCCAGAGTACTGAGAAGCAATGATGTCAATGTAGAGACTAAGGTATGCCTAATCCAGACGATGGTCTTTGCAATTACTTGCTATGCATTAGAGAGCTGGACAATTACTAAGGATGATAGAAGAAGAATTCGAGTTGTGGTACTAGAGAAGAGTCTTGAATATACCATGGATTGGCAAGAAAACGAAGTCTTTCTTGGAGAGGATGAAACTAAGTTTCTCCTTGTAGGCTAGGATTTTGAAGCTCTGTTGCACATACTTTGGGCACGTGGCCATGAGGGACTGGCCATTTAAGAAGGACATCATATTCAAAAGGGTGGAGATACAGCACAGGAGAGGAAGACCTTGGATTATATGGATTGATATAGTGACTGGGGCAATTATGGTTGGTGTGTCAGAATCACTGAGACTGGCTCAAGACAGGGAAGGCTTCAGAGCCACTGAACATAGGGTTCCCATGGGTTGTAGGTGATGTGACAGCACATAACAACAACAGGAATTGAAGAAACAAAGAGATGTGGGTAAACTGGCAAACAAACCTTAAGATCAGGGTCTTTATTCACCCTTCAAGCCTGGAATTGAACTTGCTCTTGCAGTTCAATTTTCAACCAAATAATATAGGTCTATAAAGTGAACAGGGGACCTCCGGTGGCCTAGTGGGTAAAAAGTTATGCTGCCAACCCAAAGTCAGGCAGTTTGAGTCCACCAGGTGTTCCTTGGGAGAGAGACGGGCAATCTCTTGTGTGATTTATTGCCTTGGGAAAAAAAAAAACCACTGGAGAGTCAGCTATGAATCAGTTCCAGCTCAACAGCACATAACAACAACAGTGTGAACAAAACTAGAAAGGTAAACACACCTTAGAATGATTAACTACTCAAGCTCAAAAAGGCAGCAAGTTGCCCAAGGACAGATCACAGAAGGCAGGAAGGATTAAGAAAAGAGGAGGAATGAAAATGAGAGATACAGGGAAGAAAGATTACATTGTGAGAAGTGTAATCAATATCATGAAGTAATAGGAGTATGACTTGTTAAATGGAAAATAAATTTGCTCTGAAAATTTTCACCCAAAATATGTATGAATTATTGAATGAAAAACTGATCTGCTCTGTAAATATTCCTGCAATTAATAATGATGTTGTTGTTATGGAACTTTGAGTCACTTGTGACTCATAGTGATCCTATGTACAAGAGCCCTAACCCCTGCTCTAACCTGTGCCAATCTTATTGTCTCTGATACACATACCTCCATTGCCCCAGTGACTGAATCAATCCATCTCATTGAGTGTCTTCCTCTCATGCGCTGTCCCTCCACCCTCCCAAGCATGATGTCCCTCTCCAAGGACAGTTCCTCCTTGTAACATGTCCAAAGTATGTCAGAGGAAGCCTCAGAATCCTTGCCTCCAAGGAGCAGCCTGGTTACACCTTCTCCAGGAAGAACTTGTTTGTTCTCCTAGCCAACCATGATCTATTCAAGACTCTTCTCCAGCACCACAGCTCAAAGGTATCAATTTTTTTTCTATCATCCCTAGTCATTGTCCAGCTCTCTGACACACAGCAAGCAACTGCAATGAGTATGGCTTGGATCAGGCTCACCCTAGTCTCCAGACTAACGTCATTGCCCTTCAGTACTCTGGGGACGTCCCTGACAGCCGACTTTCCCAGTGCAATTTGCCTCTTGATTTCCTGACTGTTGGTCCCAAGAGTGTTGATTATGGAGTCAAGCAAACTAAAACTATTAACAATCTCAATCTCTTCATCATCCATAATGATGCTGCTAATTGGCCCAGTAGTGAGATTAAAAAGAAAACAATAACACCAAAAAACATAGAGTTCTAGAAGTTTCAAAACCCATCTCAGCCAAATTCCAACAGATCCACTCACTCTTAGTGGGGCTTAAGGGAACTCATTTAATTTCCTGCTAACCTTTCTTCTGGTGGATGAGTCCCACAGCAGCTCGGCTGGCGGCTTCCGGCTTTGGCCAGTCTGTTGTGCAGCTCTCTGAAACTAATTGTTCAGACAAAAGTTCTGATTCAAATTCCTCCTGTCCACACTGCATCGTGTTGGTCGGTCTCTGTGCGGCGTGAGGGTCTCTCTAGTGGTCTGTCTCTACGCAGCTTGCTGCTCCTCCAGCTCCTCACACTGCTCTCTCCACTGTCACCATCTTGGAATCTATGATCCTTATCCATTGTCCATCTCCCAAATGTACAGCAAGGGACTGAAAATATCATAGCCTGAATCAAATGCACTGAAGTCTTCAAATTGGCATGATTACTCTTCAATATTTTGGAGGGGTCCCTAACAGAAGACTTGTCTGCTACTAGGTAAAACAGAGCTCTGGTTGTTTAGTCTGTAGAGTTTATAAAAATGAAGTGTTGTCTTATTGCTGTTTCAATTCTCTGTCTCTTGGAATCTAAGACCTTTAACTTTTGGAGCCTTTAGTTTCCAGGCTCTGTAATCTGGAATCTGCCCAAGAAACTGCTCAGACCAGAGTCTTGCAAAGGAATTTCATCCATAAAAATTTTACCATGATTTCACAGTATGATCTCTTAAACAGTACTGCACTGTCCAAAGTTTCTTTATTCATTCACTCAACAAATACTATCCAACAGAGTAGCCACTGATAAGTGTAACCTCATAATGATATGAATGGCTTGTGCAGTACGTAAGTAACCTCAAAGCCATCATATAAAGCACTGCCCTAGAAACCGGTAGTATTAAATAAAAACAGAGACCCGGCATCACAAAATTCACCATCTAGTGGGAAGACAGACAATAATTTCAATGCAAGGTGACAATGGCTATGATATAGGTCCTAAATAGTGAAGGTACTTAGCCTGGACAAGTGAAAAATTCTTAAAAATTATTTTTACCTAAAACTTGAAGAGTGACAAGGAAATAGTGAGAAGGAAACATAGGAAGAAGACTCAGACAGAATTTAAAGATTGAGCATAAAGAGTAGGAACACATGAGACAAGCTCAGAGAAATAGTCAAGGCCAACAAATAAATCTCTGTTCATGACGCTTTGGACTCATGCAATGCAATGCAATGACTTGCCATCAAATTGGAACTGACCCATAGCTGACTCTCTGGCAGGCTTTCAGAGGCTACAAATCCCAAGAGAAGAGTTTACCTGTCTTTCTTCCATGGAGCATATGACTTACAGAGATCCTCTATCGGGTTTCTGAGGCTATAAATCTTTACAGGAGGAGACTGCTTATCCTTCTAGAGGGTACTTTGGTGTATCTGATCCTCTTGGTTAGCAGCTTGACATGTAATGCACTATGTTACCAGGGCTCATTACAGTTTAATAGGAGGAAGAAACAAGTTATGAAACTCACAAAATAAAAGTAAAATTACATTGTGATACATGATAAAAAGGAGAAGCATAGAGAAGAATGGTAACACATTGTTAACTGCCACTGAATTAAGTATGACTCATACCCTGTCCTAATCTGTGCCAGCCTCACAATCTCTAACACCCTCAAGCCCACTGCTGCAATCACAGTATCAATCCACTAGGCTGAGGGTCTTTCTCTCCTTTGCTGTCTCTCCATCTTTGTAAGCATGATGTCCCTCTCCAAGGAAGAGCCTCTCCTAGCAATATGCCCAAAGTATGTAAAACAAACCACAATAGGTAAACCTATTAAGACAACTGAGACTGAAAACAAAACAAAATGTATTTAAATTGAGAGAATTCAGAAGAAAACAGTAATATGGTTGTCTCTAGGAAGAGGAGTAGGAAGCTCAATAGCATCAATAATATAAACTCATTACCCCATAAATGTCTTAGAGTTGTTGTCAGTTGGATCATATACACAGATATTCTTTAAAAGAGCACAATAGTTAAGGCAAACATTCCTTACTAAATTATACTAATCTACCAGCTGGGCTGGTTCATCTGCATAATGCAGATTGTTGATGAGTGTAACTCCAATCCTGATGCCACATTTCTCCTCATAGAGTCCATCCCCCAGATAAACTGTTACAGATATAGAATGAAAAGAAAAGGACACATCCTTGGTGCACACCCTTCCCAATTTTGAACCATGCAGTGTTTCTTTGCTCTGTTCTGATGACTGCCTCCTGGTCCAAGTATAGGTTTCACATAAACACAATCAAGTGTTCTGGGATTCCCATTCTTCTCGAGTCAGCCATAGTTTGCTATGATCTACACAGTCAAATGCCTTTGCATAGTCAAGGAAACACAGACATTCCTCTGGTACTCCCTGCTTTCAGCTAAAATACATCTGACATTAGCTTTAGTATCCCTAGCGCCACAGCCTCTTCTAAACCTAGTCTGCACTTCAGGCAGTTCTCTGTTGCTTTTCCAGTTGTTTTTGAATAATCTTCAGCAGAATCTTCTTTACATGTGATATCAATGATATTGTTTGATAATTTCCACACTCTGTCAGATCACCTTTTTTTGGAATGGGAACAAACATAGATCTCTTCCAGTCAGTTGGCCTGTTGGTTGTCCTCCAGATTTCTTGGCACAACTTGGTGAGCACATGCAGGGCAGTGTCCCTTTGTTGAAATATTCGGTATGCCATCAATTCCTGGGGCGTTTTTTTTCCCCCAAGTCTTTCAGAGCAGCTTCAAATTCTTCCTCAATCACCATTAAACTTCTTTTAATCTTCCTGGATCATTTAATATTCTGCCCAAAGCATCTTTAAGTATTGTAACTGGAGGTTTGAATTTGTTCTTCAGTTCCTTCAGCTGAAGAAATGCTGAAACTGCTTGCTGAAACTGAGGAGGACCTGAAGCACTTGCTGCAGAAGGTCAAGGACTGCAGCCTTCAATATGGATTGAAGTTCAACATTAAAACAAAGATTTTTACTCATGGTGTATCCTCAGGAAGAGCAGTTTGGCCCCTGGGGTGGGCTGTCTGGCCCTCGGGGTGTGCTGTCTGCCTGGGAAATGCTGTTCAGCACTCAGAGTGATCCATTTGGCCCCTGGGGTGTGTCACCGGGCCCTCAGGGAGAGCTATTCTGCCCTCTGGGTGAACCAGCCAGCCAGCCCTGCCCCAGGGAGAGCTGTGTAGCCCTGGTGTTAGCCATGTTGCCCCTAAGAGCAGACTTTCCCATGGCAATATGCCTTTTAATTTCCTGGCTACTTGTGCCAAGAGTGTTGACTGTGGAGCCAAGCAAACTAAAGCTGTGAATAATCTCAATCTCTTTACCATCCATCCTGATGATGCCAATTGGTCCAGTGGTAAGAATCTTTGTCTTGACATTGAGCCTCAATCCATACTGGAAGCAGCAGTCCTTGACCCTCTGCAGCAAGCGCTTCAGGTTCTCCTCAGTTTCAGCAAGCAGGGTTGTGCAATCTGCATACCGCAGATTGTTGATAGATCTTCCATCAATTTTAACCCCACATTTCTCCTCATAGAGCCCAGCCTCCCAGATACAGGTTGAAAAGGTATGGAGATAGGATGCATCCCTGGCGTATACCCTTTCCAATTTTGAACCATGCAGTGTTCCCTTGCTCTGTTCTGATGACAGCCTCCTGGCCCAAGTATAGGTTTCTCATT